CTGTGGCTCAAGTGGTAGAGTGCTAGCCTTGAGCTGAAGAGCTGAGGGACAGTGCCCAAGCCCAGAGTTCAGGCCCCATGACTGGACCCAAAAAAAAAAAATCATCCAGGTTGATAAAAAGAATACAACTATTTCCCATGGAGACTGTATGATCTTATATAGAGAGAACTTGACAAAAATGAACTGTAACTTAAACATACTATCTTTCCCAAACCAGTTTGGCAATCTTTTTTTTTTTTTGGTCGCTTGTGGGGCCTGAACTCTGAGCCTGGGCACTGTCCCTCAGCTCTTCAGCTCAAGGCTAGCGCTCTACCACTTGGACCACAGCGCCACTTCCGATTTTTTCTGCTTATATGGTGCTGAGGGATCGAACCCAGGGCCTCATGCATGCAAGGCGAGCACTCTACCACTGAGCCACCTTCCCAGCCCCTGGCAATCTTATTTGAACCTGTAGTTACTTGTGGTTTGACAGTGGGTGGCGATCTAAGTCTAGGTTTCTGCTCTGAACTTAGTGACATAAAATAGCTTGTTAAACTAGTGGAAACTTAAGAGACCTGGAGGGGGGGGACTGGGAGGGGGCGGAGGGAGGCTGGGAAGGGATGTGAAGGGTAAACAAAGGAGGAGGCTGCAGTGCTTGATAAGAAATGTACTCATTGCAGGGCGCTGGTGGCTCATGCCTGTAATCCTAGCTACTCAGGAGGCTGAGATCTGAGGATCGCGGTTCAAAGCCAGCCTGGGCAGGAGACTCCTATCTCCAATAAACCACCAGAAAACCGGAAGTGGCGCTGTAGATCAAGTGGTAGAGTGCTCGCCTTGAGCTGGAGAGCTGAGGGACAGGGCCCAGGCCCAGAGTTCAAGCCCCACAACCAACCAAAAAAAAAAAAAAAGAAATGTACTCATTATCTTGCCCATGTAATTGTAACCCCTCTGTACAGTATGTTCACAATAAAAAAAAAAGAGAGACTTGGAACAGTTTTGGGCTAATATATCCCTTCATAACGATAGTTATCCATCACTATTTCTACTAAATATTCATCAACTTAGATTTATTGAGTAAACTGCTGATGTCAGGGCCATCAAATTTAGTTATTTTGGCTTGTATGGAAAACACATATAAGTATGCCACCACACCCAGCACAAATTTGTTCTTTGTTTTTTAAGGGGTGTGTGTGATACTAGGGTTTGAAGTCTCACACTGGCCAGGCAGGTACTCTTCCATCTTTCTACATCTCTACCCCCTTTGTGTACTGATTTTTGAGTTCCTAAATACCTTGAATTTCCTGATAGAAATGCCTTTTGTTCTAATGAAGTGATCTGTGGAAGGCTCCTGGACAGTGTCAAGATGGAGCTGGTCATCAGAAAGACTAAACCATGACTAGAACCTTGCAACTTTTAGCCCCACTCCTCCTCCTCTAGGGAGGAGGGAGAGGCAGGAGACGGCACCAATAATTCATCATGCCTAAATAATATAGTTTGCATAAAACCACTGAACTATGGGTGTGGGACGTCTGGGTTTGGAAGACAGTGTTGTACTAGGAGCTCAGAGCATGGCTGGTTAGTATCTACATACCTTGCTCTATGACTTTCTTCATCTGAGTGTTCATCTGCCTCCTTTACAATAAACTACTCAATGCAAGTATGTTTGTTGCTCTGAGTTTATGAGCAATTGCAGAAGATTACTGAACCTGAGAGGAAGCTATAAGAATCTTCAATTGGTAGTCAGTTGATCAGAAGTACAAGTGACAACTTGAAACTTATAATTGGGGGGGCTGGGAAGGTGGCTCAGTGGTAGAGCACTTGCCTTGCATGCATGAGACCCTGGGTTTGATTCCTCAGCACCACATAAGCAAAAAGAAAAAAGCTGGAAGAGGTGCTGTGGCTCAAGTGGTAGAGCGTTAGCCTTGAGCTGAAGAGCTGAGGGACAGCGCCCAGGCCCAGAGTTCAGGCCCCATGACCAGACCCCCCCCCCAAAAAAAAGAAAGAAACTTACAATTGGCATCTGAAGTGGGAGAGAGTCTTGTGGGATTGAGCCTTCGGCTTGGGCAAGGAGCACAGGCGGTGTCAGAACTGGGTTATAGGGTAACTGGGTTGGTGTTGGAGAATCTGCCTTCCTCTCTACTCTCAATAGTCTCACATCAAATGTGTCACAAGTGTTGACAGTGGAGAACATATGAGTGTTCCTTTAAAAGATCCTCCCCAAAATGACTCAGAGAGCTGCAGCTTTACTATCCCAAAGAAGGACACAGAGGAAACAGATCTCCGTTACCTACCAATTTACCTGAGCATAGAAAGAAAGCTGTTCTGCTACTGTTAAGTTTTCAAATAAGATATCTTTCTGGGGACACCAGCCCATGCTCTTCCGAATTTGAACCATGTCGGTTGAAATGTCGTATCCATTGATATATGCTTGTCCACTTGAAGGGACAGTAAGGCCTAGAACCAAGTAGAAGAAACATCCTAAAGTTACCTTCCGTCAGAGGATTCAACAGTACCAAGGCCTAATGACTTTACCCCCCTTTGTTTACTCATTCTCCAACAAGTCCTTATTCTATTTCTTTGCCACTGTCAGCCAATTAGTAGCATTCAAGGAATATATGTTCTGTGTACTAGTATACGAGGATGTGTGGGGATGGTTAGAGGCAGGAGGTACCATTTCTGCTTTTAAGCAGTTTCAATCTGGTTAAGTAACTAAAACATGCAACTCTAAAACAAATTAACATCACTTTAGTAATGTGGTGAGGGAAAAAAGTATTTGGGGAATACAAGTCTTGAATTGAGATCCTCGAAGGCAAAGTTTGCAATTTTATCTTTGATTCCCAATAAATGTATGTTCAATGAATAAATAAATGAATGCATTCACTGCCACATATATGCCTGTAAAACCCTAAAGGCTGCCTAATAGCATAGTATCTTTGTCTTTATTCTCATTAGGATGAAAAAGGCAATGTTGGGCTGGGAAGGTGGCTCAGTGGTAGAGTGCTTGCCTTGCATGCCTGAGGCCCTGGGTTCGATTCCTCAGCACCACATAAGCAAAAAGAAAAAAACTGGAAGTGGCGCTGTGGCTCAAGTGGTAGAGCGCTCACCTTGAGCTGAAGAGCTGAGGGACAGCACCCAAGCCCAGAGTTCAAGCCCCTCAACTGACAAAAACAAATCAAAACCAAAAAACAAACACACAAAAGACCAAAAAACCAAAATCCAACAACCTTTGGTGATTTGAAAAACACTGTTTTTTTTTGAATGGAAAGAAACCTCTTCAGCATGTAAAGAGCACAGATGAATTGGGCATTGGTGACTGATGCCTATAATCCTAGCTACTCAGGAGGCTGAGATCTGAGGAATATGGTTTGATGCCAGTCAGGACAAGAAAATCCATGAGACTATATCTTCAATGAATCAAAAAAACAGAACTAGAGCTATGGCTCAAGTGGTAGCTAAAAAGCTCAGGTTCAGTGCCCAAACCCTGAGTTCAAGCCCTAGGACCAACAAAAAAGAGCAAATATGAAAAACACACAGGCACCATCATAATTAACAGTAAATCTAAAATTTTTCCTTATAGCTGGGCGCTGGTGGCTCACGCCTGTAATCCTAGCTACTCAGGAGGCTGAGATCTGAGGATCGCCGTTCAAAGCCAGCCCGGGCAGGAGAGACCTTAAGACTCCTATCTCCAATAAAACCACCAGAAAACCAGAAGTGGTGCTATAGCTCAAGTGGTAGAGTGCATGCCTTGAGCTGAAGAGCTGAGGGGCAGCGCCCAAGCCCAGAGTTCAAGCCCCACGACTGACCAAAAAAAATTTTTTTTTTTCCTTATAAGAAGAGAAAGTAGGGAAGTAGGTAGGGAAATTATCCAGGTTGGGCTGGGAAGGTGGCTCAGTGGTAGAGCGCTTGCCTTGCATGTCTGAGGCCCTGGGTTCGATTCCTCAGCACCACATAAGAAAAAAACCGCAAGTGGCATTGTGGCTCAAGTGGTAGAGCTCTTGCCTTCAGTTGAAGAGCTGAGGGACAGCACCCAGGCCCAGAGTTAGGCCCCACAACTGGACCCCCCCAAAAAAAAATCAAAATGCAATCCTCAGATCTCATTCTCCCAGATAGGATTACAGATGTGAGCCAACAGTACCTAGCTAATAACTGTATTTTAACAAATGAAAAGTCATTTGTTGGTGGCTCATGCCTGTAATTCTAGGTACTTAGGAGGCTGAGATCTGAGGATAATGGTTCAAAGATAGACCAGGCAGAAAGGTCTGTGAGACTCTTGTCTTCAATTAACCACCAAAAAGCTAGAAGTAGAGCTGTGGCTTAAGTGGTAGAGTGCTAGCCTTGAGATGAGGAGCTCAGAGACAGCACCCAAGCCGAGTTCAAGCCCCATGACCAACCAAAAAAAAAAGAGAGAGAGAGAAATGAGGTTGATAAATAGAGAGAGGGAGGATGTACAAACAGTCATTATATTCAGTACATATGTAAAAATGGAACTGTATAACTTGAGGGTATGGATAGGACTAGAAAGGATGGGGAAAACAAATAGAAAGGGGTGAGTGACACTGATCAAGAAGCATTGTAATCATAATTTAACTTGAAGTAAAACTCCTTTGTATAGCTACTTTCAAAAAAGCAGGAATTATGTCTTATCTAATAGAAAACCAATAAACAATGATTGAGTAGACATTAAAAAATTGTAAGGGCTGGGAAGGTGGCTCAGTGGTAGAGCGCTTGCCTTGCATCCATGAGGCCCTGGGTTTCATTCCTTGGCACCACATAAGCAGAAAAAAGCTGGAAGTGGCGCTGTGGCTCAAGTGGTAGAGCTCTAGCCTAGAGTTGAAGAGCTGAGAGACAGTGCCCAGGCCCAGAGTTCAGCCCCCACAACTGACAAAAACAAAAAATTGTAAAAAAAAAAAAAATTGTATCAACAGGCTTGGAATGTGGCTCAGTGGTGGTGGAATGCTTGCCTAGCATGCATGAAGCTCTGGGTTCTATTCCTCAGTACCACATACACAGAAAAAGCCGGAAGTGGTGCTATGGCTGTAGTGGTAGAATGCTAGCCTTGAGCCAAAGTAACTCAGGGACAGCACCCAGGCCCTGAGTTGAAGTCCCATGACCAGCAAAAAAAAAAAAAAATGTATCACCCACAACATACCAGATTTCTTTCTCACCTTTCATAGGTAAGCACATCCCAAAGAACAAGAGATATGTACCTCTGTGCAGAAGAGAACTGTCATAACAGAAACAGCAATGAGGACAGAAATAAAGAACATGATGAACCAAGCAATCCAGTGTAGCCAGCTGTCCAATCCCATCATACACATATAGTCCTAAAAAAAAAAGCAAAAGAACCATATATTACAGTCTAGAGTTTAGCCTATCTGGTCCAGCTTGTCAGTCTGTTACTAAAAACCCATCAGGCATGGGATGAAGCGTTGGGTAGGCTTATATTGAGGAGAGGCAGTTAGTGGGAACTGATAAGAGACTGAATGGGCTGGGAAAAAAGGAGTAAAAACCAGTGAGTTGTAGTTATCTGGTTTGGTTATGGTACAGTAGGCATTGTATTAAAATTATTCTCCTTTTGAAATGGCAAGTATACTGCTAATTTCATTTACTGATGCCTCCTATAAATCAATGGGTCCTACTGTGTTGAGGATAAAGTCTAAATTCCTTATATATCCTACTTTTAAATTCTACTGGCAAGCTGGGAATGTGGCTTTGTGGTAGAGTCGTTGCCTAGCATGCATGAAGCCCTGAGTTCAATTCCTCAGTACCACATAAACAGAAAAGACCAGAAGGACACTGTGGCTCAAGTGGTAGAGCGCTAAGCCTTGAGCACAGAGAGGCTCAGGGACAGAGCCCAGGCTCTGAGTTCAAGCCTCAGGACCGGCATAAATAAATAAACAAATAAAACAAATTCTATTGGCAGGGTAGTATTTATTTTTTTATTGTTTGGTGCCAGTATATCCTGGGGGCTTTAACTCAAGGTTCAGATGTGCCCTTTAGTTTTAGGTTTTTCTGTTCAAGGCTGAGTGATAGCTCTACTTCCAGCTTTTTGCAGGTTAAATTGAAGATAAAGAGTCTCATAGACTTTTTTGCCTACACTGTCTGTGAATGGCAATCTTCAGATAGTCTCCTGAGTAGTAGGATTAAGGGTGTGAGCCACTACCACCCAGTTGGCAGTTGAAGTTTTTAAAAAGTGTTCTTTAACCTTTGCTCATTTTTTATTGTGAAAATGCCGTACAGAGGGGTTACAATTACATGAGCAAGGTAATGAGTACATTTCTTATCAAGCATTGTTGCTTCCTCCTTTGTTTCCCCTTCTCATCCCTTCCCATCTCTCCGGCCCCCAACCTTTGCTCATTTAAAGAGAGGAGAAGGAGGCTGGGAAGGTAGCTCAGTGGTAGAGTGCTTGCCTTGCATGCATGAGGCCCTGGGTTCAATTCCTCAGCACCACATAAACAGAAAAAGCCAGAAGCGGCGCTGTGGCTCAAGCGGTAGACCGCTTGCCTTGAGCTGAAGAGCTGAGAGACAGCGCCTAGGCTGAGAGTTCAGGTCTACGACCGGCAAAAAAATAAAATAAAGAGAGGAGAAGAAACATGACCAATCTAATGATCAAAATACAAAAAGTTGGTGCCCTGGCTCTCTTTGCCAGTTTGTTGCTAAAGTAGTGAACATACAGGGAAGGTCACACTTTGTCTACATCAGAACTAAAAGGAGTACTGGTCACCAGAAGGTTATGGTTCAAAGCCCTGGCATAAAAGTTTGCAAGGTGGCTGGGAAGGTGGCTCAGTGGTAGAGCGCTTGCCTTGCATGCCAGAGGCCCTGGGTTCAATTCCTCAGCACCACATAAGCAAAAAGAAAAAAGCCGGAAGTGGCGCTGTGCTCAAGTGGTAGAGTGCTAGCCTTGAGCTGAAAAGCTGAGGGACAGAGCCCAGGCCCAGAGGTCAGGCCCCACAACCGACCAAAAAAAAAAAAAAAGTTTGCAAGACTCTACCTCCAAAATAACCAGCCAAAAGCAGGGCTAGATGCTATGGCTTAAGAGGTAGAACAAGAGCCTGAGTTCAAACTTCTATACTACCAAAAGAAACATAGTTATGAGAGCCAATAATTAAAGAAAATAAAGTACAAGAGAATATTTTAGCTAGGCATGGTGGTGAGTGGCTGTAATCCCAGCACTTGGAAGATAAGGTAGGAGGGATGCCAAGTTTAAGGCCAGTCTGAGCAACATTTCTAGTTCCAGGCCAACCTGGGAAACACAAAAAGACCCTGTCTGAGAAGCAAACAAAAAACAACAACAACAAAAAAAGACTGAAGATTTTATTTTAAAGGGTAGAAAGTAAGAAGTAATAGGAGAGAGTAAGTTAGTAGAAGAGTGTCAAAAGTGATTAACATTGATTATTTCAGGAGCAACTGAGCATCATCAAACTCTAGGTTGTCTTCCTACCTGACCTTACCATGAAAGGAGACTCACTTGAGGAAAATCTTTCCCTAGACCCTGCACAAGCACTGGCTGAACACCTTTCTGGTGACAGGCAGTAGGCTAGCCAAGCAGGACCTACTAAGCCAGACATCTCCAGTCTACGTGCAAAGATTCAGGTAATAATAATGGGTGGCATTCTACAAACAGTAAGAAACGACTTCAGAGTTCCAACTCACTTGAAAGGTTGCTCTGCACCTAAGCAATATCTTACTTGTTTGGGCCACGTTTTCATGCTGTTTTTCATTAGTAACCACCTCATATCCCTGTCTCAGAAGAGGTGTCTAAATACTATTACCTTAAGTTTTCTCTCCTTTTCCAGTGTAATGGAATTAATGATAATGAGCTCGATGCAAATGAAGCTAAGCATGAGGAGCAGAGGGAACTCATTCTGAAGCAGCATGAAGAACTTGTCCTGGACATGAGGTCCATATGGGAACCTCTGCAATAGTACACTAAGACTCTCAAACAAGTTGACCGTCGCATTTTGAGCATGGTGCCACATGATGGCTTTATCCACAGCATGCTGAATGGCCAAGAAGCCTTCTTTATGGTAGCCTACAAGGAAACAGAATGTCAAACCTAAGAAATTAAGAAAGACTGAAAACAAGGAAACGACTGAGAGGATTCAGATGGATCAAGGCTAGCCATTCAGTAAAACAGCAGCAGGAAAACATTCCTAGAACCCACATGCTACAGCAGCTCAGAGAGAAGTGAGGGGTCACGGGGGTCCCTGGAATTGAGGCAATGGCATTTCCAAAATGGAGTTCTGGAGACCTAGGCAGAAAAATGAGAGATGTCCTATACAAGAACCTTCCAGCTAGGTGCCAGTGTCTCACGCCTGTCACCCTAGCTACTCAGGAGGCTGAGATCTGAGGATCGTGGTTCAAAGCCAGCCTAGGCAGGAATGTCTATGAGACTCTTATCGCCAATAAACCACTCAGAAAACCACAATGGTGCTGTGGCTCAAGTGTAGAGCCACTAGCCTTGAGCTGAAGAGCTGAGGGACAGCGCCCAGGCCCAGAGTTCAAGCCCCACGACCGACAAAAAAAAAAAAAAAAATCAAAAGTGAATTGGAGCTGGGTGCCAGTGGCTCACGCCTGTAATCCTAGCTACTCGGGAGGCTGAGATCTGAGGATCACAGTTCAAAGCCAGCCTGGGCAAGAAAGTCCCAAAGACTCTTATATCCAATAAACCACTAGAAAACCAGAAGTGGCGCTGTGGCTCAAGTGGTAGAGCGCTCGCCTTGAGCTAAAGAGCTGAGGGACAGCACCCAGGCCCAGAGTTCAAGCCCACGACCGGAAAAAAAGAAAAAAAGTGAATTGGAGTATTAAACTCATAAATTAACATGTTAAATTGAAACCCCTTTGTAAAACTGTAAAAAGATAATAAAATATAAAACATTAAAAGGAGGGAAAAAATGCAGAATTAGAGAGCGTGAGTCTTTTGTGACAGATTGGCTCCTGGGCCTCTAAGCCTATCACTGGAGGGAAGGCTGGTACAGCAGAGAGCAAGACATGCTGGCACCATCAGGGATGCTTGACTGGTACAACCCTTGGAAGCTATCATGGCATCAGTAAGAGTCAAACCCAGGGTTTTGTGCATTGCTAGGTAAATACTCTCCCATTGAGTTATACCATCCCAGTAATACTCACGTTATTAACATGAAAAGAGAAAAGATAAAGGAATAACTGCCTTATAAGAGCTTTAACCACTTAAAGAAAGCCTTTTAAAGCCAGGCACCAGTGGCTAATGCTTGTAATCACAGCTACTCAGGAGGCTCAGATCTGAGGATCGTGGTTGAAAGCCAGCACAGGCAGGAAAGTCCATGAGACTCAACCTCAATTTAACCACCAGGAAAAAACCGAAAGTGGCACTGTGGCTCAGGTAGAGTGCTTGTTTTGAGCTGAAGAGCTGAGAGACAGCACCCAGGCCCAGAGTTCAAGCCCCACCACCAACCAAAAAAAAAAAAGCCACTTAAATGGCCATCTGTAGACAACAATAATATGTTTTGTTTCGGTTGTTTTTTTGTTTTTGTTTTTTTGTCGGTTGTAGGGCTTAAACTCAGGGCCTAGGCACTGTCCTTGAGCCTCTTTGTGTTCAAGGCTAGCTCTCTACTACTTGAGCCACAGCACTACTTTTGGTTTTTGAGTTGGAAATAAATGTCTCACAGGGACTTTTCTGCCTGGTCTTATTTTGAACCATGACCCTCAAATCTTAGTCTCCTGAGTAGCTAGGATTACAAGGTATGAGCCACCAGTGTCCAGCAATATGTTTGTTTTGAAACAGAAGAGTTTATACAGAAACACAAGGAAGACTCGCACACCTTGTTTCTGTGAAATGCTTCCATCCTTCTTTTGAACAATTCTACATTTAACAATGAAAGCCTTATATTAAATGCCATTTCTAAATGAACTCCTTCAACTACTTTGGAAATGCCCAGTTTAGCAAGTGTTGAGGTAACAATAAAAATAAAAATGTCATCATATATGTGCAACAGGACAAAAATAACGTGGTCATGGTAATGGCACAGGCTTTGGGAATTCCTTACCAGGAGTTCCTCCATCAGCATATACAATTTCCCGGGGTTCTTGGCTTGGGTTAGGAGGATAAAGAAAGGATGTGCACCAGCCTTCTAAGTCAGCTTGAAAATACACATGCTTCAAAGATAAAAGATTCCTCTGAATGTAACTAAAGCGCAAGCTGTATTCAACCTTGAAGAATAAAGAGAAAATAAATTCAGCCATGAGATCCAGCAATGACTCAGGACAGAGTAAAAACGTGTTTGACAGTAACTAAGACTGGAGGAAAAGCCCACGCTGTCAGGTGTTCCTCTTGGGACCACACTGTCACAGTGATCTTTCCTTAAGTTCTCTGCAATTTATCCCTAAGATCAATCAGAGTAGATGTAATATAGTATAGAGTGCTCTGGAGCCAGGCTACTTGTATCTAAACCCTAATTTCCTACTGAAAAGCTATGTTACCCTCAGCAAGTTACTTAATCTTTTTGCTTCAGTTTCTTCATCAGTGAAATGACAATATTAATAGTCCCTGTCTCATAGGTTGCCTATAGGAATATGTGAGATGATATCTGTCATACGCTTAGAACTAATAATTGATTATAAAATATAGTTATTAACTCCATGCTAGTTTTAACAATTGCTTCACTCTACAGCACAAAAGACAAACCAAATATTCCCATGTTTAACACACTGCCTTTTCCTTTTTTTTTTTTTGTCGGTCGTGGGGCTTAAACTCTGGGCCTGGGCGCTGTCCCTCAGCTCTTCAGCTCAAGGCGAACACTCTACCATTTGAGCTACAGCGCCACTTCCGGTTTTCTGGTGGTTTATTGGAGATAGGAGTCT